GAATATTAAGTCTTATTACGAGAAGGATAGGGAAGGTAAGAAGCCATCGTTGTGAGCAATTGACAAGAATTGTTTGGCTTTTACCATTTAGCTTTTAACAAGAAGTTTGCCAATTGACTGAAGTGTAACAGAATCATTGCACTGCGTCACATAAAGAAGTGTTGGAAGGAAATATGTCTGGCACGGAACAAGCAGTGAGGCAACAAGGACAGATGAGTTGTTTAAAGATATCTGGGTTATTTCCCCCAAAAAATGAAAAATCCTTTTAAACCAAGAATCTCAACAACTAGGCCAATATAACAGGTCAATACAAAATAACTGATCAATATAACAGCAACTGAATATGGTGCTCTCAACAAACTGACCTCACAATCTTCTTCTTATTTTGTGTATAACCGCAGCTTGCAGCTTTGGATCCTTTGAGTCAACACCTTAATATAGTCTGTGTCTAACAACAAGCGTGTTATGGCGGGTGGGACTCAATTCAGCTATGTGTGTGTCCAACAATGAAAAAGGAGGGAACACATTTAGTAACTTGGCCAAACAAAATAACACACAGGGGGTAACTTAAATGGTCACACCACACTAAACAAACTAACTGAACCCATAGCCCCCCATGACATGAAAGCACATGGTTTGGCCCAATTGGCCAGAATGTAATGCCGCGTTTCCACTACACAGCCTCGCTCGGCCCCGCTCGGCCTCCTTTGGCCGCGCCCGGCCTCGTTAGGACCAGCTCACTTTGTGGCGCGTTTCCATTACAGTTTAGGAACCGGGTCAGTATCTATAGTAACAGTGTAGGCGGAGCGACGCTGCTTAAAACTGCCGTGACGTCATATTCAATGCGACACAACAATGGAGATGTGAAAGCGATCGTTTGCTTGTTTTTTGCTGTGTGGTTTATTATCACAAGAAATAGACAAGAGTTGTTTCGAAAGAGGCGACGTATAGCAAGACGAGGTATAGAAGAAGCTGACGCGAGAGTTCGGGCAGTCCTCCTACGCCGCAGAGACTACAGGACGACTCGAATCACTACTAACTACAATGCTACTTGGTAAGCTAACGTTCGCTAACTAGCAATGTGTTTAGGCTCACGCTCCCTATACGACCGAAGTATTTCAAGTATTTAATTAATTGTAGCTACCACTTTTACGTATTAAAATATGTATGCTTTTGTTTGTGTATTTCAGAAGTTACCGACCGAGCTACCGAGTGGTGGAATGTGATTGTTCCATCTTTCACACACTCAGTGGGTGGAGAACTTCAGGATGCCTGAGGAAAACCTACGTGTAATACCTAAATATTCATTGTATTGTATTGAACATAAATACATCTTTTCTTTTTCACATACATGTGTTTGTCAAATTATTTAAACCAAAAAAATGTTATCAGAATTGACTATTTAGTAAATATTTGAATTTCAAGCACCAGTACTGCCCCCATAATAATAATCTAATAAATTAAGCAAATATCAAAGCAAACTATAAACATAAATACAAAAGTGTAAAACACAACAGAACTATATTCATAAATGCAAGTGTAAAAAATTGTTAACATGGATGGAGGCTAAAGTATCCACAGCATAAAATAATATGATTATGATGGTTTGTCTGAAAGACACAGCCTCAAGGTTCAAGGTTTTTTATTTTGTCATACGAACATAGCTAGTGTAGTTATGACAATGAACATCTTAGGTCACAGGCTCCTCCAACAGTGCAACACAATAACCCAGATCAACAGAAATATAGTGCAAGTAAATATTAAGCGCTGTGCACCGCTCTCTTTGTATAGGTGTTTTCTTTTGTTCTCTTCTCTTTGAAATATATAAGCAATGTGTTTGAGTCTAGCGGAGGAGGACCTCAAGCTAGCAAACTCAATTTCAAACAGTATGCAGAGTTGTCCTGCTAAAGAGTTAAAATGTATTATTTAACCAAGTATTTATTCTCTTATTTGCTTTAATTGCAACAGATGATAAATGTTTCACTGTGATAAGTATTCTCTTAAATCCATAAACCCCTGTACAGTGCTTTGTGGACGATGGTGTTTATGATATTTCTGACTGCAGAGGGACGCCTAGATGATGCCATCTTTCTGTGCGATCGCTGGTGGGTGCAATTATTTATCAACAAGCAATAAGATAAGACATGGCATTGATTCTGCTGGTCCAGTTGCCGTTCCTGCAGGGCCAGATCCTCTCCTCCTCGGTTTGTGCTGTTGATGCAGAGGACGTTGTTCGGAACTGTTCCTCCTCGCTAGTCCCAATGTAATCATCTAGAACAGAAACATGACTTGTAAATTCCACAAACTACTGCAGCACAATACTATAAATAGCAACAACAACTATAGAAAAGACAAACTGAACGTAAACAATGGCACATATGGTGTTAGCAAACAATAGCTCTCGCTAATGCTATCTGCCTAGCTAGCCATCGGGGTTGTCGAACATAAATGTAAGGATAAAATAGACTTATTTGTTAGAAGTGAGCTTTAAAACAGATAGGGACACAAAGCAGGGACACAAAGCTTTCAAGCAAATAACAGCGTTAGCAAAAACGTACCATGCAGACTCCAGTAACGCCGTTGGAGAGTCCAGTGTCTGTGTAGAGACCTCCTGAAAGACTTTGATATTGCGAGTTGTCCCGTCGAGCACCCGCTGGACCTTATCATCTGCAATATAATGGACGTCGTCACTTCCTCGACCGACCATGGTGTGCTTTTCTTTGCCATTGTTGTAGCTCCTCTGTTAACAAAAATGCTGTTTGTAAAAATGGATTATCTCGCGCGCAGATTGTGACGATTCTCTCCGACCAATCAGCAGCCGAGAGCGTTGACGTCACAAACTCAGCCCGGTTCTCTCGGCCCTGGCCCCACGATTTTATGAGGCCAGAAAAACTGAGAATTAGGACCAGCCGGCCGGTACTAGGCCAAGTGGAAACGCAACCACAAACGGGCCGCTGACGTCACAGCCCTCTTAAACCGGGCTGCGCGCTGTAGTGGAAACGCGCCATAAGTGTCCTCAACCCTTAGCCCCACTCTTTTGCTCCACCAGGAAGAAACCTACCCAACAAGCATGATAACTCGAAGACAAAGAAAGAATGATTGTTATAGCAAACTAATGTTAACCTGACAGTGCTAAAGTGTGAGCACCTAAACTAAACAATGTGAGGTTAAAAGCAAATAAACCATTTTAATCCACTGTGTGGTGGAGAGCAACTGAAATGAACCTGTGTAGGTAGAAACTCATGGAGGTGAGTGTGCTTTAGGATTACATTACCATGTGCGGCTGTGGCCATCACGATGTCTAAATTCAGCTTTGGGAGATGGAGTGAGTCTGTGAGGGAATGTGCCTGTCTCCATCCAGAGCATGAGACAGGTTTTCTCTGCCTTCATGTCACAGTGAAGCAGAGCAGTGAACAGGGACAGATAAAGAGCGGAACTGAATTTCAGATGTATTCTCTGGCTATGAAGTTATACTTTCTGCTTTCAAAATCACTGCAGCTCTGTGAAATGAAACTTACATTTCAAGACAGATAAGTCAGTCACACAGTGTGAATCTCTTCCTCTGAGTAGAGAGATACATATATACAGTATATACAGTATATACGCATAATGTGCTTATAGTGGAATGCCATTAAAATAAACGACACAGCAGCAAGTCTAATTATAGCAGAACTCCAATATAAATGTCTGTTCAATCCTTCCGGTTTCTCAGCTGACAGCAACTGCTGAATTCCACACTAAATCCGTAAAATAATGGATTTTTGTACAGTCCCGCATAATTTAAAATTCCACCATAGCAGTTTTTAACAATGTGGCTTAATGCAATACTGTGAGTTGTTTCATGGAAAGTAAAATTCATCTGAATTCCACTGAATCTTACAGTATGTAACAAAGGCCCCATGCTCACTGTTGGCCCATCAGTTTGTGGTAATTGTATAATTGTAATGCTGGTACAATGGAAAGTCAAATACCAAGCACTTAAAAAAAGCTTAATCCCCATGTAGGATGCCGCTGTGGCTCAGTAGAAAGAATGGTTGTCCACCATTTAGAAGGTTAGTAGTTAGATCCCGACCCCCAGCGGTCAACATGCTGATATGTCCTTGGGCAAGATACTGAACCCCAAATTTCTCCCGATGGCATGGCCAAAGGTGTGTGAGTGTTTGAATATGAGTTAGAGCAGGTGGCACCCGCATATTGCCTTGGTATGCCTTGTGTGAATGGGTGAATGCTGAGAATACTGACTTGTATTATGTAAAAGCGCTTTTTAGGGGTCGCAAAGACTGGACAGTTGTATACAGCTGTTTAAATGCATGTCCATTTACCATTTACCATTTGAGTTAGTGTCTTTGTGTGATTAAGGCAGAGCTGGGTCATCAGTTCCAAGGCTTTCTCTGCTGGACAAGAGAATTAAATGTCTTCTAATTTATACAGTGTGTATGTGTCAGATATAGTCACACGGCATCTGAGGTAGTTCTCTGGGCTCTGACTGACTAAGTGGACCCCAGCGCCTATTCTCAACTCTCTCACCATCTGTGCATTACAGATTCAGTGTTGCCAGTAGCAGTCCGTGATTTTTCTAAACCGCTTTCGGAAGACCTCAACATCATCATTTGACGTAACCACACCTTATCAACATTTAAAATATCAGTTTTAAAAAAATCAGAGCTTACAGAAATCAATAGCTTAATGTTGCAAAAAGAAATGAAATAATGATAATAGACGGGGGAATAAACTTTGTAAAAAAACATTTGCATTGCTAATAGCATTTACTCTCACTTCCTGCTGAACCATTATTCCAGACTGACCCGGGGTGCATTTATGTGTGGCCCCTCTGTCTCCCCCTTTCAACTATGTCTCTCTTACAAAAACACTGGTGACCTAAATAAAAAAATTGATGGAGAGGTATTCCGCCAAAGTACAGTGAGGAAAATGAAACCAGAAATCCATTATTGTGGTACGAATCCATCCACCTACATGTTTTTCTCTTCTGTTCTCTGCAGCGTCCGCCTCTGAGGATGGTCGATCTATCACCCCTGGGGGGCCTTCAGAAAGCGGGGCCAGCTTGTACTCCACCACCCAAGACACGGGCAGGAGGCTCCCCGTTGTCACCACCCCCCTTCCTGTCAACGTCCCCAACCACCACCCATTCTACAGGAATCCCCCCCAACACTCTCAGCCAAAGTACTTTGAAGACAGCAGGTTATCCAGCTCTCATTCCAGCTTCCCCACCCTACCATCGGGGGCTCCGCCGGATAACAATGGAGATAAAAAGGCTTCGGATGAGTTCATTGGAAGCTCCTACATGCAAACAACCCTTGTAATGCACGGATTAGCAGTCACTCCTCACTCCCACAACCCTGTTCCAGTCACCAGCCAGGTTTTAAAAGATCAGGCTGCCAACATCGCCTCTGCTGCCAGAGAGGAAGATGAGGTGAGGTCAGAAGAGCCTGAGCTGAATGTGAAGCCCAGCAGCGATGAAGAGGAGACGACCACCACCACCATAACCACCACAACCATCATAACCACCATGCAGAGTCCAGGTAAATATACCACGTAGTATTTGATGATTTGAAAACAAGTATGGGGGAAATATTCTGTATTAACTTCAGTGCTGTTTTGTCCATGCAGATGTGAATGTGTTTTCCTAACTGAACATTCCAAAATTGTACCTCAATATTCTATATATGTTATTTTCAATTTTATGGCGATAGTTTTACATTATGGTAATTATTATGGAAGCTAAACATCCTACATATATAACTTCATTATTTTTCATTTGAATGAATATGAAAGTAATAGCAGAAATCTCAACCTTGTCACCTCTCCCAGTATTGTTGCCAGAGAATACTGGAGATATTTGATGATTTATTATTAACATTTTATTATTCTTGAATTGTCACTTGATATTCTAAAATTGTAGCAAAACATCCTAGACTTGGATTTTAATAAAAAAATTCTTGAACTGTAAATTAAAATGCTAGAAACTAAATATTCTATAATTTTGAACATGACATGTTATAAAAAAACGTAATGCAGTTGTGGTTTAAGATAGAACTTTACATAAATCTGAAGTATGTTGCTTTTTCCAGGAACTTCCCCACATATGTATAGTTTTTAATATTGCAATGCAAGGACTTCAATCAAGAGGCCATTGAGCAATATACGTGTTACCTGTTTTGGTGATAGTGATTCATGTGATGGGTTGTGACTGGGGTTGGGGGAAACTATCTTTAAATGCCTCTGAAATACGGAGCATTCAGTCAGTTTATATATTGCTCTTCTAGAAGAACTCGGCTGGGGTATTTTGCCTTGTTAAGATTCCATTCAAATACAGCCACTTTTGAGCTTATTCCCCCAGGAAGGTGAAGGCCCGGTCAGGCTCTCTGAGAACTGTTTACTTTCTCTAACTCAGCCCCATTGATGAACACAGGATATGTATGTTACTTTATGAAAGTAGATTAATCAAACATATGAAGTCCATAAAAACGGCCTCTTAACAACAATATCATATTTATAAGAACATATACCGGTACTTATATTTGAAAAATTCTTGTAAAATGTAAACTACTTTTACATGACAAAAAGATATTATGTTGACATATACTGTATGTTTTGTGAACAATTCTTAACACATTGGTTAACAAATTAGTTTGACATTTACACACCACCTTTAACATGTACTCCATAAATACCCTTCGTAAATGCCCAATAAATGTTCTTGTCTTTTAGTCCACTTTTGTAACACAGTCTTTTTAATATTTCCAATAACAATAATTTACCTTTCTATGGACTACAGTTTGTATCTTACCCTTACTCACCCAAAGACATGGAAAGAGATTGCAGAGATTTTTCTAAAGATGGCTACTGAATGTTACAAAGTAATACCGGAAACCCAGTGTTAAGAGGCATTTCAGATACTCAAGAGTAAAGCAGACTTTCTTCTCCTTGTTAGTTGTACATGAAGCCGTTGACAAGAAAAAAGGTGAAGGAATGAGCCTTTTCCTCTCCGAAAGACAAATATGATGCACCATGCCAAATAGGTACATCAACACAAAACAACATATTTATGAATTTTTATTTATAGGGCAATCATTGATATGAATTTATTCATCTTCTTGTCTTCACACCCTGACTAATATCTTTTCCATTTATATCTCTCACGATCACACAGCCACGGGGCTGAAATAAACTACAACTGCATCGCTGCATCACTAACCCTTAATCAAGAGAACACTCTTTGATGATTTGTCATGAAGAGAGCGGATGGGGAAAATAAATATCAGGGAGGTGATCTGTGAGTGGACTTTGTAATCCTGAAGAGACAGACGAGTAGCTTGATTAATCAGCTCATCTGTGTGCAGGGTGACGGCAGGTCAAAGACAGACAGACTGTACTGTCACAAATCCCACTCTCACGCACCCAGGCACTTGTTGAATGGCAGCACAGTGCAGTTATAATTCTGGAGTGGACGGTCCCTCAGGTGAAGTGCCAGAGGACACAGAGAGGATGCTCTTCATAATAAGGAAGTGCTTGGAAAAAGTTTACTTTTTAGCTCAGAGAGAGGGAGGGATGAAGGCCACTATAAAATATTCTGTCCCGAGCTGTCCCATGGCAGGCTGAGCTGCTTGGAAAGGCAGCCAGAGAGGCGGAAGACCTTCCAACAAAGTCACATAGGGTGTCTAGGTGTCTACAGTACGTACAATATAGTTACACTACATCATTGCTGGAAATGGAAATGAGTTGAGCTCATACAGCAGCATTGCTACAGGAGACTGGGCCAACTAGAGACAACAAGACAATTGACTGCTATATATATAGCCGACTGTCAGGGAATCATTTCCATAGATGTTTACCTTTTGCCCTCTGACGCAGATGCCCAACCTTGGGCAGCATGCTATCTCCCTTAAGGAGGGGCTGCCCCAGCATTTTGTTGTTGTTACCAGTTTGTGACCGGGCAACTCTCGGTCAGAGATAGTTATTGTTGTGGGACACCTGGAACACATCCTTCTCGGGGTGTAGATGACCCCGAGCCATAACCGACAACAAATGTGATTCAGTGTCCTCAGCTGTTTAGTCTATCTATTGAAGAATGTTGATTATTACACTCTGAACTAGTTAAAACCTCGAACTACAGGAGGGGTCTTCAGAATTGATTGTGGCATCTCAACCGTGTGGTCAAACCGTGGCCCGTGACATGTCTTGTGAATTCTCCGGCCGAAGCTCCAAATAAACCGTCAGTGTTTGGCATCAAAGCTCCAGCTCTCCTCGTGTCTCTCTGAGTCCTGACTCCAATTGCTTCAGAAGTTTCCCCCACACCGACCATGATAGAATTGCAAAGACTTTACAATCCGTGCAACATATGGCAAATGCAATTGTGTTTGGATTAGAAAATAAATCCACCTATGGGCCAACAGACATTAACAAAAACATGTGTGTGAAGACTAGACCCTGTTTAAAGTATGCCTTTGCATGTCGTAGATGTCTCTTGAGAGTATCCAGCATCTCTTTACAGGACCTGTGACATACAATATCAGCCATCTGCCGGATCAGATGCTTACATGCAACTTATCTATACAATAAAGATAGCATACAATGTGGAAAAGGTTCTAAAAGGACATCCTTGATAGTGGCAAAACATATCAACCAGTTTCCGCCATTCCTCAACATTTCTCTCTTTATATCCAGAAACAACGTCTGTCTTTGTTTTCTCCAGCCTTAGCCAGAAGCTGACCTTTCTTTCATTGCCTTCTTCAGCTTTCCTCATGTTTCTCCTGCATCCCTATGAAGCCTAAGGTTGACAGCTCTAATTTAAACTCGGCAGATGTTGGTCGTCCAGCCAGCCTCCCTGCACTCAGCTGCTATGAACCCTTGACCGTCTTTCATTCAAAGGCGACCTTAATTCCATCCTCCAATGGTACAATGAGGTCATAGAGTACAGCTTTTACCGTAGTGGACCACACCATGTCAGGAACTTCTTGTTCCGAAACCACTGGTGGAGGTTCCTCTGACAGGGAAGCTTATTGTAGGTTGACCTGATAAATAAGCGGAGTCTTGCCTGTGGGATCTTCCACAAGTCTGACCAACTGATTTTCCAGTCGACAACCAGGTTCACCAAGCTTCCTTGTTGCCCTGCATCACAGACTTGATCTTGCAGCTTCCTTCCTCTGTCCTTGTCACCTCTTCTACCACTATTTCCTTTCTGTTTCTGGTTGGCCATGGACTAGAGCCTAGTCCTACCCTATTGATGCCCTCTCTGCCTGGACCCTGCAAACTATTTCTTGCTGCTGCAGTCTACCTACCACTTGGTTGACCTAGGCTTGGGCTTTCCACTTTCGGCCAGTCAAGACCATGGGCCTTGTGTTCCTTATTGCCTGAACTCTCTTTGAGATCCTTCCTAGACTTCTGTTTGTCGCCCAAAATGAGAGATTTGCATTGGTTGCTGCAAGATGTTGTCCCTAAAGTGGCCAGTTCTAAGAGAGACACCTCGGCAGCACCAGCCACATCAGATGAATCAGTCAGCCTTTCTGTTCATCTTACTTACTATAGATGATGGAATTTGTAAGCTTCCACAACACCCTCTGGTAGAAAGTGAACTGCCAGCACAAGACAGTGTACTTCCCTGGGAGTTGGATTTGCTCAATCCTGACCAGGCCTTCTGATAGCTGCTTCATCACTGTGTTCCCCATGCGATTGTCAGAGAGCTCTGCTGTGTATTGTCCCCCAAGGCTCTAAGGGTTGATAAATGTAACCGAGAAGCCTTTAAACCGGAAACACTTAATAGAATGTTTGTCAGTGTGTCCAGAATCACACATTAATACAACGTTATAATCAATGTCTGGTTTATAGGAGTTATTAGCTTAGAGTTTTTGGGTGTCCCATGGCCTCAACTCCACCTCGGGAGAATTTGTTTGTTGCCATTAATACATGAGGGGGAGGGCAGGACTAGGGTGGGAAGTGGCACCACGCCTCTTGTCCATGGCTGTAATGAGAGAGGAAATGGTGATATCAGAGGTGGCAAGGACAGAGGAAATAACCCCAGTGAAAAAAAAGTGTACATGAAAAAAACCTTAGCTTTAAAACATAATAAGATGTAAGAACAGGATTTATAGCTGTACAGTGTGTGTGTGTGTGTGTGTGTGTGTGTGTGTGTGTGTGTGTGTGTGTGTGTGTGTGTGTGTGTGTGTGTGTGTGTGTGTGTGTGTGTGTGTGTGTGTGTGTGTGTGTGTGTGTTATATGTCAGCCCTACTTCCATTAGAAACCTTTCCATGGTGCTGTTTTGTCCTTGCAGTTCCCTGCCAGATGAACCTGACCGGGCCAGACGGATACATAAAAGCTCCTCCACAGTCCAGCTCTGCTTTTCAATCCACTATGGACTGCAGCTACGTCATCACTGTCTATATGGGCTATGGAGTGGAGGTACAGGTAAGAGAAAGACTTAACATTCATCCATTCAGCATTTGATGGACCTATGATGCTCACCAGCAAGCTTGAGTCATTTAAAAATCCTCAATAAATGCTCTTTTGTAAAACATTTTCTTTGGGAAGGAAAATGGTGTATTTGTTGGACAGGAGATTGATGGTCTGGTTATAATGGGGCCAAACAGACTGATGGACAGAGAGACTGGTTGTATACATGTGTATGGTTTTCTAAACATAAAAGTAAAATGTACTATAGTTATTAGGCTATATCTGACTATAGATCACTACGTTGTACAACCCCTCTTCAAACTATCATAATGATTCCCTATTATGCTTGTTGCACCTGCTGTAGTGTCCATTGCTCGTTTAATTTACTGTATGTATATTTGCTTAATTGTCTGAGTTCTGTCCTCTTTTCTGGTTGTATAATCGATATTCAGAGGATGTGATTTGCCATCTATATAAAAGGAATATTTGTTCGATTTTGATTAAAGGGTTTTGTAGTGTGATGTGTATATCTAGACACAATAATGGACTTACATTTTTTTAATTAAGGGGACTCTTTTTAAATATCATCCCATACAATGTATTCCTTTTACCCTTTCCTTTTTTCTCTAAGAATGGAGCAAAGTAACATTTACCCATCGTAATATTAACTGAAATACAGCTGTCCTATTTTTAAACTTTATTTTGGTACACCTTAAGAATTATAAAACATTATAGTACTCATTACATTTGTGAGAAAATGGGATCTTCAAAGTGGAGATACGTGACTGTGGACATGTTGTTTGAAAATCGATAGCCTTCCTAGCAAGGTGACATCCTGACACCATTATCAATTGTGTGTGTGTGTGACCTTAGCGTAACCTAGGCTTAGTTTTTATTAATACTGACAATGTCTTATCTCTGTGTATGTCTTTTCTCTGGACACTTTCCAAAACTGTCCATTTTTACCAATGCTTTGTCCCCTTTTAAACTGTTAAACACTGAGCTTGTCGTTGGCTTGCTGTCAGATTGAAAGCTCCAATTAGCATTTTGATTTTTTGTCAACAATAGTGATCCAGCCATCTCTGGTCCCATAGTGCAGAGAGATACAGCTTAAATAGCAGCTGACAGAAAAGCAATTCATTGTTCATTTATTACAAAAAATACAGTTCCATTATGCTGCTCTCCCTTTCAACACATGATCAGTTTTTATAACAGGATTTCTACAGAAATACATCATAGGTGTCCTGACACTGACTGACCCAGTCAAAGTAATCCTGAAATAACAGCTTATGTCCCCTCACATTTATGACAAGCTTAAACGGTTTTGAATTATAGGGTCAATAGGGCTTTTCCCTCATGTTTAGATATTTTTTTTCTGTCAGAATGTCAAACGCTTCTTAATAGCCCTGTAAGTTCACATCGCACATACAATCTAGGTATCATCTTTGACACTAGCTTTTTGTCCCAACGCAAAACTCATCAATTGGTCGTCTGCATGTGATGGATGGATTTTGGTAGTATGGTCTAGTTGTAAATGCTTTCAATAGGGAGACCATTATCCTTCGTGGCAGTTATCTGGCCTAATAATCATGCTGTATAATTCCCGTCAGGACTTTAGGTCTGCCAAAGTAAAGAGCATCATTTTTCGGTCTTGCTCCATGATTTACCACATTGCGCCATGCAAAATGGCCAAGCAAGCCCTATCATTCAATATGAAAGAGACAAAGTACCACACATCTGAACTTGGGTGGCAGCAAACTCATACAAGACCGGCAAACAATGGGGAATACCCATGGCCTCTTGCTGCTGCTTTACTAGACAGCACAGAAGAAAAACAAAGTCTTTCTAGTCAGATTGAGGAAACTTGAAAAACCGGCTTGCTCTAATGTGTATTGTTCTGGCAAAGGTCCAATCTCTGATAAATAAATTGGATAAACTGCAAAGTAGGATTGCATTCCAAATTGACATTAGGAACTGAGACTGAGACTTGGCCTTACACCTTCGGGTTGCCATTCCCCCCTGCATGGATTTCATTTTTTGGCAGGACCGAACTCAATACACTACCAAAAGATACGAAGGAGGTGCTCTATTGTCTACCTCAAGTGGTGCCCAAAAGTGGAGATCATTTCTTAAGACTTAGAGCACCTCATGATGGAAGGCTGGCCATTTTATCAGCCGGGGAATTTGTGTAACATCAGTGTGTGTCCCGCCGCAGGCGGATAACAACGCAGTGCTTGAGGAGCTGTATGTGTTTATCGACAGGATAGAAACGTTATGGCCATAGGCTTCCTTTTATTGTGGCCTGGGATTTAAACACATTGCCACCATGAATACAGTCCTGCAAAGATATTATCAGCACTTCAGCTGCCCCACACACATTGTTAACAGACTAGACCATGTTTATTCTCCTATCCGACATGGTTGATTACACTTATTGTAAGTCGCTTAAGATAAAAGCTTCAGTTAAATGAAATGTAATGTAAGTCAGACCACATCTCACTGCTGATGCTGTACAAGACAGACTGGAGATGCAGACAGTTGAGTTCTGGACTGTCAGACCAGCACTGCTTTGGCATCTCTGAGTGGTGTGTCTTTAGGAATTACAACGTAAACATTTTCTTCATTTATCGGCATAAATTAAATGTCATGTCTGGATCAAAACAAAAGCCTATTGTGTCATGCTGCAAGAATTGTATTCCAAAAACAAAAAGTGTATTGACCCGCAGTACTCACCACGGACCTCTTTGAGTGATAATGAATTAAATAAGGATGAACTTTGTCTCACATCCTAATATTGTAACAACTTACACAGCACAAAACAAAATAGCTTTTAAATCAAGGACAAAAGACACTGCTAAAATAAAAGCATCTTTCACACAGAAAACACATATCTAGTATTTCAGATAACAGTCTATGCAGGTTGTACTATGTAATATATGGTTCTATGAATATGAAGTTACTACAAGGGGAGAGAAAAGGGCTGGCAGGTCATATTTACGCAGGGATTAAGGTATTTACAGATAGTATGTCAACATTTTGGTTACTGAACTGACATTCCTGAATCAGAAGCCCAGGAAAATCTGCTAACCACACAAATAATATTCGAGAGACGGTTCACAGTACCTACATACCGGGTTATTTATGAAATGTCTTCTTGGCGCATAAAAGCTTACCATGGTTTAGTCATACTAGGAGAACTGGATGGAAGACATGCTAACTGTTCTCTTGTTTAAAAAAACTTACTATTAAGCTTTAGAGCTGCTCCAAGTCTTCATTTTGTCACTGTGGGAAATAAAGCAGACAGCTAACGCTAACCACATTGTTAGCATACTGCAAGATGCATCTGTATTCTCATAATTTAATGGCAACATTTACCTATTGAAGGATGAAAAATATAAAAAAAAAGTCATTGAAGACATGAATCAAGAAAAACATATTGTTACTTTCTTTCATCCCAATGTGACATACAGAGGAAAACACCTACAGTACTAGCAAACAGCAGCCTTGGAAATGCGCTAGACGTCCAATGTCACCTCCACAAATGTGTTTGGCCCGTAGACAATGGCAGGCGCTCCAAATGATTACAGCCACTCTATCCACTCTAGGGCATTCAGTGTCGTTTTGAAGCGTCTGACCTTTTTGGGGAGGCTTATGTGATGATTTAAGCAGCGCCCTTGTCTCTACCTGAAAACCCCCTCCTGCACATGATTAACTCCAAGAGCTTTGCTTCCTCCTGCTCATAAAATATACAATGGCCATTACGCCGCTGACCTTCCAGATGCCTGGCCTAATATATTTAGGATAAAAAATGAATATGTGGTTGCAAATCATGGTCAGTCATGTCTCCCAATTGCTTCTTGCTGCTGATGTTGAGAGAAAAACAAGGTTGGTTCATTTTCAGTGTAAAACAGAACGCAAAAGCAAGAGGAAGAAAGTCACATAGCACAGCTGTCTGCCTCTCTTCTTCTCTCTTATATTCTCTCTGTCCTTCATCTGACTTTTTCTCTTCTCTCCTTTTTCTGTCTTTCTCTCATCTCCCTCTGTCTTTTTACACTGACTTCTCTCTGCAACACAAACAGCCGCCCTGAATGCTTTTCTTTCTATCTCTTTTCACGGTGAATGACGTGCTTTGGTTTAACCTCCTATGTGTTGATGTAGTCTATCCGTTTGAAATGGTTCATGTTGGTAAAGGAGGTGTTGTGGCTCAGGCTTTAGCCGTTTGGTAACACCTGGAAACTGCTTGACATCTTCCTGAATCATTTCATATATGTATACATTCTATCTATACGTTTGATATACTGTACTCTTGCATCCGCCCTCTGACAGGCTCATAGTAGATACAGTATGTTGGTAGATTAGTCCCGCCTTCTTGACACTCAGCAACAGATCTATCGAACCAATGCATGATGAAATCGTTTTATGCAGACATTGATGAGCAACTTGTCAGTTGGCGGGAAGTCAGAGGAAGTCAGAGGAAGTCAGAGGATGGTCAGAGGAAGTCAGAGGAAGTCAGAGGAAGGTCAGAGGAAGTCAGAGGAAGTCAGAGGAAGTCAGAGGAAGTCAGAGGAAGTCAGAGGAGGCACTACTTTCAAAACAAGAAATTGCCCTTAAATGAAAACAAGTCGGGAAGGGATTAACAGGAGAAGAATAGAAGGAAAGAGAAGTAAAGGGAACTGTAGAAAGGAATGTGACAGTGATAAGAAAAGCCACCAGGTGAAGAGGGAAAAAGCTAAGTACAGCAAAAGATGAGCAGAGAAATGATAGGATAAAGGGGAGTGTTAGAAACAGGAAATAAAAGATAAGGAAGACAAAGAATAAGAGAAGAAGAGGAGCTGATAAGCAGACACCTGAGATAATACAAATGCAGTTGTCTCTCATCTTCCATTTACTCATTATAAAAAGTGACTCCGGTGTCCGGATGTGGCTGAACTGCCGTACTTAATTAATTGCTCATGGATTATCTGTCCTCTCCTGTGTTTGTTTACGGACCTCTTTAAATGTGCCTCGGCGAAAAT